CGACACACCCAAATGTGTGGGCTACTGTCCAAGCATTCTGAGTACTTTGTAAATATCATTACATTGAGCCAAGCGTTGGATTGTTCTTACATTTTTTCTGCACGCATCCTTCTTCCAAGATCGTGAAGTAGGTGTCGTTAATAATGAAGTTAGTAGAAATACACACAAAAGAGGGGGATTGAATATGTGTGTATGTGTTCTAAGGAAGATTTTTCAAAATCGTTTTGTAAAGATACTCCTTTTTCTTTTAATAAAAAGAATATTCAAGAATTGTTGAAAACTTGTGCAGGCTTGTCTGACTAGAAAGCTTTTTACGTCCAATAAAATTGATCGTCTGCTTCAAGAAACAAGTTGAGTGAATATGTTTTCCGTCTGAAAAAATCTATCGTCCAAAAAATTGTTTCTTCAAACATAGTGGACAAGTGATTTTTCGTCTAACAGTTTGTTGAAATGAAAGTAGATGAAAGACGAAGTTTTTTAAACAAGTGGTGTTGGAGAAATAGAAAAAAGTATGCACAAATTTTTATACTGGTTCACTCAATCTGAGCTACGTCCAATCTCCTTCAACTGAAGGGTTCCACTAATCATAGAGGATTACAAGTATTCTCAACCACTTCTTGCTCATCAACCTCACTTGTCGACATTAGTATTCTTAACCACTTCTGGTTCTCCAAGTATTCAATTGACCACTTATGGCCCGCTAGCTTCACTTACTAGCGCTAGTATTCTCAAACCACTTCTAGTTCACAAGTATTCTTTCAACCAGCCTCTTCAGGCTTTACAGTGTAAATGAAGGTGTTGAGTGTGTTTACAACTCTCACAGAGAGGATAGGATAGTTTCTACACTCACTAAGGTGAGTAACCTTAGTTTTACAGGAATAAGTGTCTGAGTGTTTTGTTTACTCTCGTAGAAAGGATAGAATATTAGCAACACTCACTAAGATAAGCTATCTTAGTTTTTACATAGATATACAAGAAATGCTTTGAGAAGAAATGTAGCTTATGCTTTTTCGCTTTCTTTTTCTTATTGTATGTTTTCTCTACTTCTCAATTCTCTACATCTTCTTCTTCTTTGCCTTGATACTTATAGCTTGTTGATAAATCTGCCCGTCGTTTGAATTCAAATTTTCCCGTTGGAGCGGAGCTTCATGTCGTTGTAGATGGAGGTCTGTTCATGGCTATGTAAATCTTTTCATTTAATGCATTTGATCTTGCATTAAATGTTTGCTTGTATACGTGAAGTCTTTCTGTATGGTTGATTATTTCAATGTCTGACTTCAATCATGATCTAGGCATATTTGTACTTTTCTCATCAGTTTAGCTGCTGAGGTGCTGTCTTTCTCTAAAAAGTAGGTGTCCTTTTCTGACACACACAACTTTGACTTGTGAATCCACGCTTGCCTATTTTTATTTTTTTTGTATTCAGGTTTGATGTCCTTTTGCGTTTCTTGTATGATTTCACTTAATGTGATTAGTAGACTTCAGCCGCACTTCATTATTTTTCGACTGCGTTTGGATACACATTTTAGTTTTGATTCTTCGTCTGGTCTTGACTACCCTTTTCGTCTGGTCATGAGAGTGATGACTTTGTCTGCTTGATATTTAGCCAACTTTTGTCCCGTTCTTGACTTAGTCTCATATGATTCCTGTTTTGGTCTTACATATGATCCCTCAGGCTTCAGCTGATAGATTCGTCTTATCTTGTATTTGATTTAGGCCTGGATCAACCTTAGTCTTGATACTAGCTTTGCTATCGTCTGATGTCTTGTTCAATTTGATTATGCTTGATCATACTTTGTCCTTCATTTTTGCCTGAACTTATTGTTATCCATCCGAAACACTAATGCACATGTTAGGAATAACAATATGTATTATATTTGTCATATTCAAAACCTCGGTGGGAATTGCAAATGCACTTCTTCTGACTTAAAAAATAAGGCATGTCGAGCAAACTCTATTTAAGTCGTTCACATCTTCTTTCAAGGGTTTTAAATCCGATTTTCTAAAGGTGATGATTGATCCGGTGGTTGGGAGGAATTATTTCTACAATCAAGAAAGGAAACCCTTATTCCCATTTTACTAAACGAAGGTTCCCCACAAATATGATGAGTATTCGAAAGATATGCTTAGCCCAGGGGAGGCTTCAACCTTGGCATTTTTTAAAACCTTGCCCTAAGAGATCCCAACTAGGTTCCTGGTGTTGTTGTCGAAGTCGGCTTGTCCTCGTTATGACTTGAATGGTATGTGTTAATTTCCCCTTCACTATGTTTTCTTGATGGTCTAACTAAATGCTTTTGGTTCAAGATTCATGTCTCAAAAAGGTTTGGGACTGTCGTATCGACAAGCCATTCGCAATCGCGCCCTTGCTCATGTTCAAGCTGAAGAACATCAGAGTGTGGCTGTGGACGAGGAGGCAGTTGTGTTAAGTCAGACGAAGCAATTCCCAATAAGGTTTTGAATGAGAAAAATATAATGCATATTGTTATTCCTAACAAATGTGATAGTGTTTCAGAAAAACATAAGTACAGGCTGTAGACACACCCAATTTTGTCCAGGTGCATACAAATAAGGAAATGGACCTCTGTTATGAAGGGAAGGAGCTCCCGAAGCATGCAAACAACAGGACAGGACATCAAAAGGCCTAAAGCACAAATACATTGGTTTTAGTGGCCCGGAACGGACTGTTCCAAAATTGGAACGGGCCGTTCCAAGCCACAAAAAAGGCCTAAAAACCTAGTTTGGAATGGGCTGTTCCAAAACCAGAACGGGTCGTTCCAAACCTGATGGAGCCTTCAAGTGTGAAAGTTCCATGAATGCTTCAAGACTTCTCCTCGGATCCTTGAGGTTGATGCAAGGATTAGAACACAAGAAGGAGAAGCAAGTGTGACTACAAGAAAATTGCGAATTAGAGAGGGAACGATCTTTCGCAAATCCCTCGCTAAACAAAATGGCGAGGGACTAGCAAGGGATTTACGAAGGACTATTCCGTCGCTTTTCCCTCGCAAACAGCTTCGCTAGTCCGTTGCAAATTTGTGCCACTAATTCATCGCTATTGCCTCGCAAATGTAGAACTCAAATTCCCTCGCTAATTGCATTTAATATTTCCTCGCTAAGATGTCGCAAAACCTTTGCAAGATATCCTTCGCTACTTCGTCGCTACTGCATCCCAAAATATTGTTTAAGTATTCCCTTGCTAATCCTTCACTACTCCCTTGCAATTATGCCTCGCGATATTGTCGCTAATTTTTCGCAACTCTGTTACAATATATCAGTTGAGGTTCTTTGCAAATCTCTCGCTAATCCCTCGTAAATATGGCCTTTGCAAATCCCTCGCTAATCCCTCGCACATGAGTCCTTCGCAAATCCCTCGCTAATCCCACGCAAATCCATCAAAGCATATCAATTGTGTTCCCTCGCGAATACCACGCTAATCCCTCGCGAAACCTTCACAACATATCTTTTACGTTTCCTCGCGAATCCCTCGCTAATCCCACGCAAATCCATCAAAGCATATGGATTGAGTTCCCTTGCAAATACCATGCTAATCCCTCGTAAAAACTTCACAACATATCTTTTGAGTTTCTTCGCAAATCCCTCGCTAATATCTCGCGAAACCTTCCCATTTTATCTATATATATACATTATTCTCTCATGAATCCCTGTAGATATGCCACTTAATTTGATATTTTAAATAAATCTAAAACAACTGCATAATATTTTTCAATTCAACATGATTTAAAATAAAAGTTTCATGTAACAATATCTCTTACAAAACCAAATTGTTAAATGTCTTACAAAATCCAACTTGTGCATACTATCTTAAAGAAACCCAAACTAATCATTGTCTTACAAAAAGAAAAGCCAAATAACGAGTCATCCTAAATAGTAATCAACCTAAGCTAGTAAAATCATCATCTCGTCCTTGATCCTCCCTATGTTGGTTGGTTGATGGTGTTGTTGATGGTTGAACTGCCTGAATTATTTGCCTCATCATCTCTGGTAATTGCATTTGCAAGAAAGAAGCCAATGCCTTATTTATAACTGTAGTGACCCGTTCTTCTGTCATAGGCGTAAGATTTGTAGAGGAACTTGCAACCTCTGGAGATGAAGCTTGGGTAGAGCTACTAGTTCCAAGATCCAAGCTATGTCCCATGCCATGGACTCTTTTCTTCTTGTTTTCACCTGCAACTTTTAACCAAAGATCAGAATCAATTACAGGATGAGATGAAGTGTCTTCTCCATATTTTTGTGTCATTGATTCTTCATATGTTTCCTACAAATAATAAACAAAAAAATATAAGTAAAATAGCAAGAGGTTAAAAAAGTACATAATCAATCTTAAAATATAAAATAACAAGCCTTTTGGCCCAACTGGCCGGCCTGGTCCATTGCCATTGTTGTTACCAAGCTGTTTTCTAGAATCCGATGATGCCATACTAGGTTTACCGGTTGAACTTGTTGTATAACTGGGTCCTGATTTAGGAGGCAAACGGCCAGCTGCAGTACCTAGTTTCCGTTCCTCATGACTGTCATGAACATGCTTGCCATTGCTCAAAGGCAGTTTACTCCTTACTGGAACTTGAGCTGGTCGTCTGTAACAAGTCCCACATCGGGGAGGTCTCCTTACCAGGGAGGCCTTATAAGGCGGGAGGTTCTCCAACCTCTTGGGCCGGCTTTTGAGGGATGGTTCCCCTCCTTAGCCTTATGCTCGTTACAATGATGCTTTCATTGAGAGCCAGCCAAATCGAGAAGGGCTACTCACGGAGGGTTCTGACCACCGGAGGGTTCTGACCGGCAAGGGCCGAGTGAAGTACCGGTGAGTGAAGTACCGTGGAGTGCAGCCATCGAGGACGCTGGCTTTCGAAGGGGGTGGTAATGTAACAAGTCCCACATCGGGGAGGTCTCCTTACCAGGGAGGCCTTATAAGGCGGGAGGTTCTCCAACCTCTTGGGCCGGCTTTTGAGGGATGGTTCCCCTCCTTAGCCTTATGCTCGTTACATCGTCCCTCTTCAACATCAGCAAAAATCCTGTATAAGTTCCCTTAATTACAATAACATGTTTTAATCCAACATTCAACACCATATGAACACAGCCAAGAGCAATATACCAGAGTTCCGTATAGGCATATTCTGAGGTGGACGGGCTTTTGAAGGTGCTGGAAGCTCTGCATCATCGGATAAAAGAAATGAGTAATCTCTTGTATTCTTGAGTTTCTGAGCTTTAACTTTCATCTGTATAAATATGAAAAACAACATTTAGAGAAGAGGTTAAGCTACAAAAGTTAAATGAAAAACATAACACAGATAGCCACAAGACCTCTCTGACTTTGGGTGGTAGGTTATGAGATGAAGACTTTGATCCTCCACTAGGTACTTTATCCGGGTTCTTCTTCTGCAGACAATATCATTTATGAGAAAGCAACATTCATTAAAATACTCCAGGGAGAAAAATACATTAAAAAACACCTAACTGCTGCATATTCTCAGTACTTAAGCGAAAGTTACCGTAATGTTAAGAAGTATACAATTAGGGTAGAAGGAAAAGAGATGACAGCTAACAATAATAACACTAACTGTATTATTGATTGGTCATAATGTGTGTTGCAATACCCTAACCAAATACTCCTATTTATACTAATAATTAGCTCATGTACTAGTATAATGGTATGAGCTATCTACTTACAATAAGACTAACAGCTAATTAAATCAAGGAGAAAAAAATCAATATAATAAAATGAGGAAACAACTCCCAAGTTTCTCCAATTAGATGACTAATAGATTCCACAAGAAGTTCTGAAAATTTTATAAGATAATCTAAATATATCCCAATACTCCCCCCTAAGATAAAGCTTGCTAATCTTTAGGGTTTAGAGGTAAAATTACAAGTATTAAACCCTAAGACATAAGACAAACAGCATAAGTCATTTAAACAAAAAGCACAAAGAATAAAAGGCAAACTTGGCAAAACCAACCAAACATAGAGAATTAATGCTAGACCATTTAATGTCCAAGAAGAAAAGAACTTGGCACACTGCTGCTCCAAGTGTAACACTCCATTCTGATATCATTTGGCACACTTTGGAGAATTTGGTGGAGTGTAATTGACAAGTCCAAAGGGTTCACTAGAGCACATATTTATGCCATCTTAAGTTTTTGGCCTTGTGATGTGTTCTTTGTCATTAATTTGCACTCTCTCTCTCTTAAGTGAATAGTGAATACACATTATTTTGGACTAGTTTGGTACATTAATTTGCTCTCTCTCTCTCTTAATGTGTATTCACTATTCACTTAAGAGAGAGAGAGCAAGTTAATGTACCAAACTAGCCATTACAAATTCAAGCAACAAAAGCTATTATCAAACTCTAAAAAAATGAAAAACTAAGATTTTAAAAATATAATTCAGGTTTAAAGGGGTAATATTGCACAAGGCATCCTGCAACCACCATTATGGTATGCAGCCTTATTGCCATAAGCAGGTAGGCTATTCAAAGTTAAATTAAGTTTACAAATGAACCAAATGGGCCAAAGAAATATGCGCATATGTAGAGAGATACAGAGAGAGGAGGGGCCATTCATATATTGTAAGAGTAAGTCTTGTGATACTCAAAGTCTCAAACCGTTCAGAAACTTCTTAAGGACATTGAACTTCATCCAACAATTGGATTAAAAGATCTCACGGAGCAGATCATGTTAAAAATTTTCGTACATTTTAAATTCTACTTAATACTTCATTGTGTCACAATTGTCAATCTTAGTGGTGCAGAGCAGCTGATCCAAAAAATGGTATAGCAGATAGAAGATATAATTATATAGGTGTGTGTTGGTAGAGTTACTAGTTTGTAGCCTTTTATACATGATGTAATAACGTTTTCCGATTCTAATAATCAATATATTCCTTTTTCAGTTTTATACACTTTTCTCTGAATTTCATCATCTCTTGACTATGAATTATGAATTCTAACATAGCAGGATGGTTGGTATAACAGAGATTGTGCATACAAGTAATTTACACTAAAAGTGTAAAAAAAAAAACTTTAAAATAAATAAAATTAAGCAAAATGAAATGTTGCATTTGAAAAATGAAAAGTCATAGTGAAATAGCGCGGACAAAATCACCATAAATCTAAGACATAATTCAACAAGTCAACAACAAATGGAATGGGAGACTACCTAGGACGTAGCGTAGAAGAACTTCGGAGGGTGGTTGTGGTTGCGCGAGCAGCAGCGGAGGGCGGAGGGGCTTGCACAAGGAACACGACAGCGATGGAATAGGTCTATGCGGAGTGGGTTTTGTTTGTGTGGGGTTTTGGTGGAGGCTGGTCTCACGTTTTTTTCCTTCTCAAATGTTTCGTTGTAAAACGTCGTCGTTTTTATTTTATTTAAAAAAAAATAATCCAAAAAGTAAGTCTCAATTTTAAATTTTTTAATAAAATATCCACACATTTAAAATATTTAATTGAGATGAAAGTTGAGATTAAATTACTACCGTTTAATAACAATCATTATATCTTATTACTTCGTATCTGAATAAATTTTATTTAAATAAAAAAAATTAAATTAAATTAAAGATAAAAAAAATGAACAATAATAATATTTATCTAAAAGTGGTTATAAAAAAAGTAAAAATTAATATAATTTTTTCATTTATTAGTTAATTATATTAAGAGAAGAAGTTTTGTAATAATTTTATTTAGGAATGACAATAGATAGTAATTTTAATCTCCATCCTCATATCTGTTATTGTCTATTGGATATTTGTGTACTTATACCCATCACACCCATAACTCACATTTTACTTATGCATAAAGTAAATAAATCAATAAAAAGATAATATTTCATACAAACAAACATAATATTAAACTAGTGCAAAAATTGGATTTAAAATCGAAGTTTTCAAATCGATTACAAGGTAACCAATCTTAAAATTGACGCGGTGGCAATTTTGTAAATAACATTAACACTTTTAAGATCGGTTATTTTATGACCGATCTTAAAAGGTATGTCTGACACAACTTTTAAGATCGGTTACAAAAGAACTGATCTTAAAAGTGGCACTTTTAAGATCGGTTAGTATAACAAGTCCAAAATAATGTGTATTCACTATTCACTTAAGAGAGAGAGAGAGAAAGTTAATGTACCAAACTAGCCATTACAAATTCAAGCAACAAAAGCTATTATCAAACTCTAAAAAAATGAAAAACTAAGATTTTAAAAATATAATTCAGGTTTAAAGGGGTACCATTGCACAAGGCATCCTGCAGCCACCATTATGGTATGCAGCCTTATTGCCATAAGCAGGTAGGCTATTCAAAGTTAAATTAAGTTTACAAATGAACCAAATGGGCCAAAGAAATATGCGCATATGTAGAGAGATACAGAGAGAGGAGGGGCCATTCATATATTGTAAGAGTAAGTCTTGTGATACTCAAAGTCTCAAACCGTTCATAAACTTCTTAAGGGCATTGAACTTCATCCAACAACTGGATTAAAAGTTCTCACGGAGCAAATCATGTTAAAAATTTTCGTACATTTTAAATTCTACTTAATACTTCATTGTGTCACAATTGTCAATTTTAGTGGTGCAGAGCAGCTGATCCAAAAAATGGTATAGCAGATAGAAGATATAATTATATAGGTGTGTGTTGGTAGAGTTACTAGTTTGTAGCCTTTTATACATGATTTAATAACGTTTTCCGATTCTAATAATCTATATATTCCTTTTTCAGTTTTATACACTTTTCTCTGAATTTCATCATCTCTTGACTATGAATTATGAATTCTAACATAGCAGGATGGTTGGTACAACAGAGATTGTGCATACAAGTAATTTACACTAAAATAGTAAAAAAAAAAACTTTAAAATAAATAAAATTAAGCAAAATGAAATGTTGCATTTGAAAAATGAAAAATCATATTGAAATAGCGTGGACAGAATCACCATAAATCTAAGACATTATTCAACAAGTCAACAACAAATGGAATGGGAGACTACCTGGGACGTGGCGTAGAAGAGCTTCGGAGGGTGGTTGTGGTTCTGGGAGCAGCGGCGGAGGGCGGAGGGGCTTGCACCGGAACACGGCGACGACGAAATAGGTCGATGCGTAGTGGGTTTTGTTTGTGCGGGGTTTCGGAGGAGGCTGGTCTGACGTTTTTTTCCTTCTCAAATGTTTCGTTGTAAAACGTCGTCGTTTTTATTTTATTTAAAAAAATATAATCCAAAAAGTAAGTCTCAATTTTAAATTTTTTTAATAAAATATCCACACACCTAAAATATTTAATTGAGATGAAAGTTGAGATTAAATTACTAGCGTTTAATAACAATCATTATATCTTATTACTTCGTATCTCAATAAATTTTATTTTAATAAAAAAATTAAATGAAATTAAAGGTAAAAAAAATGAACAATAATAATATTTATCTAAAAGTGGTTATAAAAAAAGTAAAAATTAATATAATTTTTTCATTTATTAGTTAATTATATTAAGAGAAGAAGTTTTGTAATAATTTTATTTAGGAATGACAATAGATAGTAATTTTAATCTCCATCCTCATATCTGTTATTGTCTATTGGATATTTGTGTACTTATACCCATCACACCCATAACTCACATTTTACTTATGCATAAAGTAAATAAATCAATAAAAAGATAATATTTCATACAAACAAACATAATATTAAACTAGTGCAAAAATTGGATTTAAAATCGAAGTTTTCAAATCGATTACAAGGTAACCAATCTTAAAATTGACGCGGTGGCAATTTTGTAAATAACATTAACACTTTTAAGATCGGTTATTTTATGACCGATCTTAAAAGGTATGTCTGACACAACTTTTAAGATCGGTTACAAAAGAACTGATCTTAAAAGTGGCACTTTTAAGATCGGTTAGTATAACAAGTCCAAAACAATGTGTATTCACTATTCACTTAAGAGATAGAGAGAGAGAAAGTTAATGTACCAAACTAGCCATTACAAATTCAAGCAACAAAAGCTATTATCAAACTCTAAAAAAATGAAAAACTAAGATTTTAAAAATATAATTCAGGTTTAAAGGGGTACCATTGCACAAGGCATCCTGCAGCCACCATTATGGTATGCAGCCTTATTTCCATAAGCAGGTAGGCTATTCAAAGTTAAATTAAGTTTACAAATGAACCAAATGGGCCAAAGAAATATGCGCATATGTAGAGAGATATAGAGAGAGGAGGGGCCATTCATATATTGTAAAAGTAAGTCTTGTGATACTCAAAGTCTCAAACCGTTGAGAAACTTCTTAAGGACATTGAACTTCATCCAAAAACTGGATTAAAAGTTCTCACGGAGCAAATCATGTTAAAAATTTTCGTTCATTTTAAATTATACTTAATACTTCATTGTGTCACAATTGTC